AGTTTCGATAATGGGCAAGGGAATGAGCGGGTTTCTATATGTGGGCTTTGGCGCAACCTGCTGACACTCAGGGCAACTACGGCAGTAGTTCTCTATCTCTTTGTGTACTCCTGGCCAAAAGAAACGTTGCATGATTCTTTCCTTAGTCTTCTCTACCCCCAAGTGGGCCCCTAGCGGGTGTGTGTGTGCTAGGTTGAGTACTGTGGCCCGATAGGGCTGTGGCACGAGGAGCTGTTCATGCACTTCATCATTTTTCTTGACTATCTGATATACTAACCCCCGGTTTACTGCGAAATAGGGGTAAGTAGGGTTTGTCTTATCACCTAACACTACACCTTCTAATACCTGCACATTTTTAAGGCATTTGCAAGAGTAGGATCTTGTAATTGAGCCGTACCATACTGGCCTGTGAGAGGGGGAAGCTCTTGGGTGCCTGGGACGTCTTCTTCACTGGAGAACGGAGCACTTTCCTGGGCTGCGTTCTCTTCTCCCGTATCCGGACCAGTCTCGGTGTCGGTCTGGGCACCTGCCATCCCTATCAGAGCCCGGCCGGGAGTGAGTAACTCGGAGGATTGCACCGGAGCCTTCCCAGGATGAGTCTTGCCTCTCCGTTTCCGAGGTACTCGGGTTATCCTCTCCTGAGACTCTCTCCAGAGTGGGTAAAAGGCTGGGCAGTCTCGTCCAATTAGGACAGGGACGGGGAGGGAATCAACCACCCCCGCCGTCGTGTGTATGGTTCCCCGTGTGCTGGTCATTGTAAGTTCAGTAATGGGGTATTCTCTGGTGTCCCCATGGACACAGGAAACTGGGAGGACTTTCCCCGGGGTCAGACACGTTGGGCCCACCAAATCCTTACGCACCAGGGTGGCCCGGCTACCAGAATCCAGTAAGGCCTCCACATCATGGTGATTCACAGTTACCGGGCAGGTGGGGGGTCGATCTGGGCCGCCATCTACGACTCCCAAGAGCGAGGCAAAACGGTGTGTGGGTGCTGAGCTGGAGGACTCCGCAGTGGGCATAGGTTCATCGGCTGGTTTCCCACACTGCCAGGAGATATGTCCCATCTCCCCACACCGGTAACACTGTCGAGTTTCCCCCTCCTGGTGCACTCTTCTTGGACCCGCCTGGTTTCTGGCTCCCCCTGGAGCCGGGATAAGTCCTGACGTGGCTGGGTTCGAGACCTTGGGGTCCTTTGGACGGGTTCTTCCCATTTGTGGTGGGGCCGCACTCCTGGGGTCTTTTCGGGAAGCATTCAGCATCTCCGCTGTGGCCTGGTACTTTTCCACAGCTTCCACGGTCAGATCAGCCGTGGTCAAGGCCTGTTGACTGATGAACCGTTTTGCCTCATAAGGCAGGGCGCGTAGGTAACGATCCACCACAACGGCCTCCACCACCGCCGCTGCTGTATTCCTCTGCGGATCCAGCCATTTCCTTGCGATTCGGACAAGTTCATGCATCTGCGCCCGAGGAGGTTGGTCTGGTTGGAAGGTCCAGCTGTGAAAGCGCTGGGCCATACCAAACTTTGTGAGTCCATATCTGCTGAGGATCTCAGACTTCAGGGCATCATAGTCAGTAACCTGGTCAGGGCCCAGGTCCCGGACAGCATTCAGCGATTCCCCGGTTAGAAAGGGGGCTAACAGACCAACCCACTGTTGCTTGGGCCAGGCTTCCCTAGTGGCCGTGGCCTCAAATGCATGCAGGTATGGCTCAATGTCATCGGTAGCTCCCATCTTAGATATAAAGTCACTTGCCTTTATTGGGCGGGTATTTTGGACAACCCTCTGTCTCTGCAACTGCAATTCCTCTGCCTTCAGAAGGTTGGCTTTCTTTTGCTCCTCCAAGAGAGCCACGTTTGCTTGCATCTGGGCTTGCTGGCCAGCAACAAGGGCTTTCAATATGTCCTCCATTTCAGTCGGCGGGGAGCCTACGGCCAACTTGGAAAACTGGGTGATCAAACCTTCGGTATCCTCCTCTGACATGCACTATTAACGCTTGAGCTTGCCCGTATTCTCCACCATCTGTGACGTCACGAGAGGCTACACAGCTTTCAGCGGGATTGCTCAAGTAGTGCAAGGAGACAAGGTTCAAACAAAACAAGGATTTTATTATAGGTCTTGGGAAATTAACGAAAATATAACAAAATTCTGTTCTCTTGTGGCTCTTTAAGGGTTAACAGTTCAGGGATGTCTCTTCCACATCCAAAATCATAATTCTCACTCGCTCAGATAACTTTTCCCCAGCCTTACTGTAGTCCACGTTGCAGCTAGTGGTCAACCCAGCAAAAAGTCCTTCCAAATGTCTCTCACGTATTTCCACAGGTGCATATATCCAAAGGTGAGTATTTCCCAAAGGTAAGTATCTCCAAATCCTTATATTCCTCATGGAAGTGGACGTGCAGCACTCTTGTCCTCCAGAGAGCCCAGGTTGGAGACTGTGTTTCTTCCCTTCCCAAACCTTCAGCTCATCAGCTCCTGATTTGTTTCAGCTGCGTGGGAAGATTGGCCATAGAGGGGTGGAGTTCCCGACCATACCAGCAGATGGAGCCATAGCTGTCTGGGTTTGCAGCCACCTCAGGGGGATGTAACGTCCCTCCAGGACACAGCCTCTCGTGACATCACAACGCGTTGACTGTATGATGGCTCATCGGAGGTCGTAGCGGGATTTCTTATAAGTGTCCGGATTAGTGTCCCGCTCCTTGAAAGCGGCAGCTCTAGCCTTTAGCTCAGTATGGATGTTGCCTCTAATCCATGGCTTCTGATTTGGATATGTACGTACGGTCACTGTGGGGACGACGTTGTCGATGCACTTATTAATGAAGCTGGTGACTGATGTGGTAAACTCTGCAATGTTATCGGATGAATCCCGGAACATTTTCCAGTCTGTGCTAGTGAAACAGTCATGTAGCTTAGCATCCGCTTCATCGGCCCACCTCCGTATTGAGCGCATCACTAGTACTTCCTGTTTGAGTTTTTGCTTGGAAGCAGGAGGATAAAGTTATGGTCTGATTTGCCAAATGGAGGGCGAGGGAGGGCCTTGTAAAGAGTAATCTAGAGTTTTGTCACCTCTAGTTGCATAGGTGACATGCTTGCCCTCGTTCTTCAGGTCGGCAAACAGCTGGAAGAAATAGTGCGGGTCCGTTTTCATCTGGAGCATGTTGCCACTCATCAGGTTGATGATGGACAGGCAGCTGTCCCAGAAGATCTCCCTGAAGCTCTCCACCAGGAAGGGTCTCAGTGGGTAGGAGGTCTCATTGCCCATATAGGAGCAAGTCAGGTAGAGGCAGGTGATCACCACGTCCTGCAGCTGGTGCTCTGTGGCCACCTCCGAGGAGACCACGTTGCGGCAGCGCATTTAGATGAAAACCACGTTGGCCGGGGCGAGGGTGCTCTGGTTTCCCCAGCTGTGGTCGAGCAGGAAGCGGTCCACGCTCTGCAGCCACAGCCCTGGGTCGTTGGGGGGACAGGTTTTGGAGCCGGTAGCAGTGCTGGCACAGGAACTAACCCAGGCAGCTGGACCATCACCCTCTTGGGTGTGTCGGGGGCCTCAAATGAGTTGTTCAGGGGGGCCTTCTTGATCGGTGAGGAGGCGTTGTCAGAGCTCTTTACTAAGTCTGGGGTGCTCTGACTGATCCTGGGTGAGGGTGGACAGGTTGGTGCAGGACTGAGGCTTCTCCAGGGTCTCGTTGTTGAGGTGGATCACGTTCTGGTTGTTCTCGTTGGGCTGCACCTTCTTGGAGCACTTCTTCCGCTTGATTTTGATGAGCGAGCGGCGCTTCAGGTTCTTGTCTTTGGTGTTGTTGCTGTTCTGAACTGCCATGTTGTGGCCCACCGTGGCCGGCCCATCTCCGTCCTACATTTTCCCACTCATTCAACGGCATTGTGCATCGACATTAGATTTATGTGTGTTCGTAAACGTGAGAAATATAATACAATTGATTTTGATTTAGATTATGCTTACTGATTTCAAGTCTATGTCAAAATTACACAATGTTTCAATCATTTTTTTATTGATTAAGAGTTAACTTGTGTACATCGACTGCTGTCTAAGTTCTGAAATGTGAGTGTTCTGAAGACGAGCATCTTGTTGTAATAAAGGAGCACGTCATAGCGTTGCTGTAAACAATGAAGCAGATGTTCGTCGTGATAGACCTTTTTAACATGTCGCACTCTGTCTGCTAATATTCTTGCCTAACATTTCCTATGTTCCTGTCTTGGCTAACTAAATTACTTTTGTGTGGCTGCTAGTGCTAGCAAGCCTGTAGCGTTGCATTTCAGTCGACAGTGTATGAATAGAATGTTTGCCGATGGTTTAGCATTTGTCCCAAAAGTTTTGTGGAAACTGTGTTAGGTGCACGTCATTTAATCCCTCTATTTGAAGTGAGTGAAAATATCAAACAGTTGTAATGTGTCAGGCCTCACTGGAGGGATAAATGCGCTACAAACATACATTGCTTTTTCATGTGAAACACAACATAAGATAATTTAAATAAACTTGAAGATAACACAATCGCATTGTGTGCACATGTGCCGCGTTCACGTGCTAGTCGTAACTAGGAAACTCAGAAATGTTCGACTTGCTAACTGGTTGTAGTTATACACGTGCCGTGTTCAACCAGTCAGCAAGTCTGACATTTCAAAGTTCCAACTAGCACGTGAACGTGGTATAAAACCACCAAAAGACGCAGCCTAATTGTAAACCAAGCCACGTGTCATAACTACATTCAAAAGTAGTAGTTTTTTTTTTTTGTTGGTAATGGGATGGTCTATCCTTGCATGTAACAAAAGTCACATGGATATAGATTTTTTTTATTTTGACCAAACTTTTATGTTTTTAAATGGCCTACACTTTTCGCCCAAAAAATGACTTGTCATTAAAGTAATTTTTTTATATTAAATTATTTGAACGTGTGTCTCTGTCTCTGTGTGTGTATTTACTCTAACTGTATATAATTTAGGGTATGTATCAATCCATTCCTCATTCCTACTTTCTATGTGTCTCAGGAGCTGCTGAAGGAGACTCGCCAGGAGTGGGCCAATCGGGTGGTGGAGCTGCTTTACAGCATCTTCTGCCTGGACACCCAGCAGATCACCCTCACCCTGCTGGGCCACATCCTGCCCAACCTGCTCACAGACTCGGCCCACTGGCACAGCCTGGCAGACCCGCCCGGCAAGGCCCTGGCCAAGTAAGACTGAATCCTCCTAGTGTAGTTTCTCAGATTCTCAATGACAATGCAATGGAAATGTGCCATGTGCTAGCTAAATCATAGGGACTAGCTACCTGTCTTAATAGGTGACTGTAGGGGCCCTTTTCCAGAACACAGATTAAACCTAGTCCTGGCCAAAAAATCACTTTCAATTGAGATTCCCCATTAATCCAGGACTAGGCTTAATCTGTGCCTGGGAAGCCGGCCCTAGTTATACATGGTCCCTGTACAGCAGGGTTCCCCAACTGGCAGCGTGGGCCAAGTGGTTTTATTTGGCTCCCCAAGTTTTCTGTTCAATTTGCAGTCTACAAGTTATTTGTAATTACGTTCTGGCCCCCTGACCATCCGCTCAAGAAAAAATTGGCTCGCGGCTGAATCTAGTTGATAGTCCCTGCTGTACAGTATGTAGGTAATGAATTACTGAATAAATCGGTTAGGTCGCTTTTCCTTAACCTTATTTTAACAAATGCATCTTTACTGTCGTTGGCTTTGGCTGTGTTCCGTTGTTGATGTCCAGTTGAAAGTTTTATCCAATTGTTCTCCAGGCTGGCTGTATGGTGTGCTCTCAGCTCCTTCTCCACTCACCACAAAGGCCAGGCCTCGGCTCGACAACGCAAGAGGCAGCGGGAGGATATAGAGGTAACACCACAGACAGTCAGACGGACGGACAGACAAACCGACCAAATCACAATTTATTTAAAGTGAATTTAACAAAGTCACAACACACTTTATACACGCGCACACACACACACTATATTGTCATGTTTCCCCAGTGCCATGGGTATTGTAGTCTAACATGCCTCTCGTTAACCCCAGGACTACAGTAGCTTGTTCCCTCTGGACGACACACAGCCCTCCAAGCTCATGCGTCTGCTCAGCTCTAACGAGGACGAGCCGGTGGTCCTCTCTAGTCCAGGTTAGTCTGCTGCCCTCTGGTGTCAAACAAAGTACAGCAGGGACAGGTTCAGCAGGCAGACGTTGTGGAATGTTGCAGATATACATTTTATGAAAGAAAGTTATAGAACATGCTGCCGCCACAATACTTGAAAATACAAAGGGATCAACAACATTACATTCACTCCATATTACTGGCCGTTATGACAAGGTGAAAAGAAAGAGGCCTGTGTTAAGAAATCCACTCCAAATCATTGATTATGTTTGCAACAAGGCTGTTAAGTAATACTGCAAGACAACACAGCAAATCAATTAACTTTTTGGCCTAAATTAAAAACTACAGGGTTGGGTCAAATCCAATACAACACAGAGTGAAACCCTCTCTATTTTCAAGTATTGTGATTGCATGTTGTTAGTATGCTTGTCATCATCAAAATAAATATGAAAGGAGCAAAGCCCAGGTAAAACGTTAGAGGAAACCTCGCCTCAGTCTTCTGAAAATCTTATTTTTCAGCGAGACAATTACACAACTGTTTATGCCAAAAACACACCAGAATGGCTTTCAAAGGGGTGTTGAGTGTTCCTGAATTGTTTAGTCTCAGTCCTGACTTAAATGTGCTTGAAAATCAGAGTCAAGGTTTGAATATTGCTATCCATCAATGTTCCCAACCAAATTTAATGAGCTTGAGCAATTTTGACAAAAGTAATGGTTATATATTTCCCTATGAGTTGTGCAAAGTTGGTAGAAATTAATGGAGTTATCCCCCCAAAAAATTGGGAACATTTTCTATAACTTTCTTTCATTTTGAAAATGTGGAGGAGGTTGTGTAGATCAGTATGAAAAAATATATAATTTAATACCTTGTTAGATTAAATTTTAAGGTAGCAAAATGTGAAAAAGGTAGACTTTCCATATCTATGGAGAGCCAAGTTTGAAAATACTTTTTACTGTGCCTTAGGGGTTGATTGCATTCCATTAAGGTTTTTAAGACAGAGTAGGGTTCTGAACCGACATCAACAGCAAGTAGACACAAGTTCTCTAAACCAAATGACAGGCGAACAAAAGCTTTTTGTTACTTTGGGAAAAAACTGTGCTCAACAATAACAACGGTTTTCATATCGAAAGAAAAAGGGTAACTTTTTTTCCAATGTCACCAGGGTGATATGGGCAATTGCAAAAGCCCCACTAGGTAACCGTAATTGACTTGCGTTAACATGATTTAAACCTGCCTTAAGGTATTTGGGAAAAACTGTGATCACGGAGTACATTGACATTTGACCAATCGTGGCCACTCTGCATAGAAACAAAACTTCCCTGCGTCAAATCACACAGTATATTGCATTACTCTGGAAAGCAATTGTACACTTCTGTTGAATGACGAGGTGTAGTGGAGTAATTAGTGTCAGGTAGAAACCCAATGTGCAAGGAGGTGGTGTAGAAGGACATTTAGGAAAAACACACACTTTAAATGAAGTGGGATGTCATGTGTAGAGTACTGGAGGGGACAAGGTCATTTAGAAACTTGTCTTTCCCCACTATGGACTTGAAATAGGAGGAAGTGTCCTTATAGACTCACTCATATGATAAGATATTTTGTTTTAATTTCTTACACCAGTCCTTCAATTGAAATCTATAAGGGAAGAGGACCAGTGAAAACTTAGGTGCCTGCCACAAGTCAAAATTGGCTATATTATAAAAAATTCATTCAAACTAAAATGTTGGTCTTAATTTAAGGTTAGGATTAGGTTTAAAATCTGATTTTAAGAAGATAAATTGTAGAAATAGGCAGGGTTTAGCCATAATTATGACTTTGTGGCTGTAGTAACTAGTGACGACCCAATTTAGGGCAAATTAGAGAATTGAGAAGTAAAGAGATTCTTTGAGTAAGGAAGTTATGTCAGAGCAGTGACGCAATGATACAATGAGTACATTTACAGTTGAAGTCGGAAGTTTACATACACCTTAGCCAAATACATTTAAACTCAGTTTTTCACAATTCCTGACATTTAATCCTAGTAAAAATTCCCTGTCTTAGGTCAGTTAGGATCACCACTTTATTTTAAGAATGTGAAATGTCAGAATAACAGTAGAGAGAATTATTTATTTCAGCTTTTATTCCTTTCATCACATTCCCAGTGGGTCAGACGTTTACATACACTCAATTAGTATTTGGTACAATTGCCTTTAAATTGTTTAACTTGGGTCAAACATTTCGGGTAGCCTTCCACAAGCTTCCCACAATAGGTTAGGTGAATTTTGGCCCATTCCTCCAGACAGAGCTGGTGTTTCTGAGTCAGGTTTGTAGGCCTCCTTGCTCGCACACGCCTTTTCAGTTCTGCCCACACATTTTCTATAGGATTGAGGTCAGGGCTTTGTGATGGCAACTCCAATTACTTGACTTTGTTGTCCTTAGGCCATTTTGCCTCAACGTTGGAAGTATGCTTGGGGTCATTGTCCATTTGGAAGACAAACATAACGATGGTCATTATGGGCAAACAGTTCTATTTTTGTTTCATCAGACCAGAGGACATTTCTCCAAAAAGTACGATCTTTGTCCCCATGTGCAGTTGCAAACTGTAGTCTGGCTTTTTTATGGTGGTTTTGGAGCAGTGGCTTCTTCCTTGCTGAGCGACCTTTCAGGTTATGTCGATATAGGACTCGTTTTACTGTGGATATAGATACTTTTGTACTTGTTTCCTCCAGCATCTTCACAAGGTCCTTTGCTGTTGTTCTGGGATTGATTTTCATTTTTCACACAAAAGTACGTTCATCTCTAGGAGACAGAACGATTCTCCGTACTGAGCGGTATGACGGCTGTGTGGTCCCATGATGTTTATACTTGCGTACTATTGTTTGTACAGATGAACGTGGTACCTTCAGGCGTTTGGAAATTGCTCTCAAGGATGAACCAGACATGTGGAGGTCTACAATTTGTTTTCTGAGGTCTTGGCTGATTTATTTTGATTTTCCCATGATGTCAAGCAAAGAGGCACTGAGTTTGAAGGTAGGCCTTGAAATACATCCACAGGTTCACCACCAATTGACTCAAATGATGTCAATTAGCCTATCAGAAGCTTCTAAAGGCATGACATCATTTTCTGGAATTTTCCAAGCTGTTTAAAGGCACAGTCAACTTAGTGTATGTAAACTTCTGACCCACTGGAATTGTGATACAGTGAATTATAAGTGAAATAATCTGTAAACAATTGTTTGAAATATTACTTGTCATGCACAAAGTATAGTGGGGAAAACAATTATTTAGTCAGCCACCAATTGTGCAAGTTCTCCCACTTAAAAAGATGAGAGAGGCCTGTAATTTTCATCATAGGTACACGTCAACTATGACAGACAAATTGAAAAAAAAAAAAATCCAGAAAATCACATTGTAGGATCTTTAATGAATTTATTTGCAAATTATGGTGGAAAATAAGTATTTGGTCACCTACAAACAAGCAATATTTCTGGCTCTCACAGACCTGTAACTTCTTCTTTAAGAGGCTCCTCTGTCCTCCACTCCTTACCTGTATTAATGGCACCTGTTTGAACTTGTTATCAGTATAAAAGACACCTGTCCACAACCTCAAACAGTCACACTCCAAACTCCACTATGGCCAAGACCAAAGAGCTGTCAAAGGACACCAGAAACAAAATTGTAGACCTGCACCAGGCTGGGAAGACTGAATCTGCAATAGGTAAGCAGCTTGGTTTGAAGAAATCAACTGTGGGAGCAATTATTAGGAAATGGAAGACATACAAGACCACTGATAATCACCCTCGATCTGGGGCTCCACGCAAGATCTCACCCCGTGGGGTCAAAATGATCACAAGAACGGTGAGCAAAAATCCCAGAACCACACGGGGGGACCTAGTGAATGACCTGCAGAGAGCTGGGACCAAAGTAACAAAGCCTACCATCAGTAACACACTACGCCGCCAGGGACTCAAATCCTGCAGTGCCAGACGTGTCCCCCTGCTTAAGCCAGTACATGTCCAGGCCCGTCTGAAGTTTGCTAGAGTGCATTTGGATGATCCAGAAGAGGATTGGGAGAATGTCATATGGTCAGATGAAACCAAAATATAACTTTTTGGTAAAAACTCAACTCGTCGTGTTTGGAGGACAAAGAATGCTGAGTTGCATCCAAAGAACACCTACTGGGGTGGAAACATCATGCTTTGGGGCTGTTTTTCTGCAAAGGGACCAGGACGACTGATCCGTGTAAAGGAAAGAATGAATGGGGCCATGTATCGTGAGATTTTGAGTGAAAACCTCCTTCCATCAGCAAGGGCATTGAAGATGAAACGTGGCTGGGTCTTTCAGCATGACAATGATCCCAAACACACCGCCCGGGCAACGAAGGAGTGGCTTCGTAAGAAGCATTTCAAGGTCCTGAAGTGGCCTAGCCAGTCTCCAGATCTCAACCCCATAGAAAATCTTTGGAGGGAGTTGAAAGTCTGTGTTGCCCAGCGACAGCCCCAAAACATCACTGCTCTAGAGGAGATCTGCATGGAGGAATGGGCCAAAATACCAGCAACAGTGTGTGAAAACCTTGTGAAGACTTACAGAAAACTTTTGACCTGTGTCATTGCCAACAAAGGGTATATAACAAAGTACTGAGAAACTTTTGTTATTGACCAAATACTTATTTTCCATCATAATTTGCAAATAAATTCATTAAAAATCCTACAATGTGATTTTCTGGATTTTTTTTTCTCATTTTGTCTGTCATAGTTGACGTGTACCTATGATGAAAATTACAGGCCTCTCTCATCTTTTTAAGTGGGAGAACTTGCACAATTGGTGGCTGACTAAATACATTTTTTCCCCACTGTAGATGTCCTAACCGACTTGCCAAAACTATAGTTTGTTAACAAGAAATTTGTGGAGTGGTTGAAAAATGAGTTTTAATGACTCCAACCTAAGTGTATGTAAACTTCCGACTTCAACTGTACATGCACGCTAATAATTAGATTTTAAACTGATTATGACAGTAGGCCGAGTATGGCATTTTACATTTTTTACATTTTAGTCATTTAGCAGACGCTCTTATCCAGAGCGACTTACAGGAGCAATTAGGGTTAAGTGCCTTGCTCAAGGGCACATTTACGTCATTTAGCAGACGCTCTTATCCAGAGCGACTACAAATTGGTGCATTCACCCTATAGCCAGTGGGATAACCACTTTACAATTATACTTTTTTTTTTGGGGGGGGGTAGAAGGATTACTTTATCCTATCCCAGGTGTTCCTTAAAGAGGTGGGGTTTCAAATGTCTCCGGAAGGTGGTGAGTGACTCCGCTGTCCTGGCGTCGTGAGGGAGCTTGTTCCACCATTGGGGTGCCAGAGCAGCGAACAGCTTTGACTGGGCTGAGCGGGAACTATGCTTCCGCAGAGGAAGGGGAGCCAGCAGGCCAGAGGTGGATGAACGCAATGCCCTCGCCTGGGTGTAGGGACTGATCAGAGCCTGAAGGTACGGAGGTGCCGTTCCCCTCACTGCTCCATAGGCAAGCACCATGGTCTTGTAACGGATGCGAGCTTCAACTGGAAGCCAGTGGAGTGTGCGGAGGAGGGGGGTGACGTGAGAGAACTTGGGAAGGTTGAACACCAGACGGGCTGCGGCATTCTGGATGAGTTGTAGGGGTTTAATGGGGGGGGTTCAGCAGTGAGGAGAATGTGGCAAAGAGCTTCCTAGGGTTAGAGGCAGATGCTTGGAATTTAGAGTGGTAGAAAGTGGCCTTAGCAGCAGAAACAGATGAAGAAAATGTAGAGAGGAGGGGAGTGAAAAGATGCCAGGTCGGCAGGGAGTTTAGTTTTCTTCCATTTCCGCTCAGCTGCCCGGAGCTCTGTTCTGTGAGCTCGCAATGAGTCATCAAGCCACAGAGCTGGAGGGGAGGACCGAGCCGGCCGGGAGGATAGGGGACACAGGGAGTCAAAGGATGCAGAAAGGGAGGAGAGGAGGATTGAGGAGGCAGAATCAGGAGATTGGAGGGAGAAGGATTGAGCAGAGGGAAGAGATGATAGGATGGAAGAGGAGAGAGTAGTGGGAGAGAGAGAGCGAAGGTTGCGGCGGCGCGTTACCATCTGTGTAGGGGCAGAGTGAGTAGTGTTGGAGGAGAGCGAGAGAGAAAAGGATACAAAGTAGTGGTCGGAGACATGGAGGGGAGTTGCAGTGAGATTAGTAGAAGAGCAACATCTAGTAAAGATGAAGTCAAGCGTATTGCCTGCCTTGTGAGTGGGGGGGGGATGGTGAGAGGGTGAGGTCAAAAGAGGAGAGGAGTGGAAAGAAGGAGGCAGAGAGAAATGAGTCAAATGTAGACGTGGGGAGGTTGAAATCCCCCAAAACTGTGAAGGGTGAGCCATCCTCAGGAAAGGAACTTATCAAGGCGTCAAGCTCATTGATGAACTCTCCAAGGGAACCTGGAGGGCGATAGATGACAAGGATATTAAGCTTAAATGGGCTAGTGACTGTGACAGCGTGGAATTCAAATGAGGAGATAGACAGATGGGTTAGGGGAAAAATTGAGAATGACCACTTGGGAGAGATGAGGATTCCTGTGCCACCACCCCTCTGACCAGATGCTCTCGGGGTATGCGAGAACACATGGTCAGACGAGGAGAGAGCAGTAGGAGTAGCAGTGTTTTCAGTGGTAATCCATGTTTCCGTCAGCGCCAGGAAGTCGAGGGACTGGAGGGTAGCATAGGCTGGGATGAAGTCAGCCTTGTTGGCGGCAGAACGGCAGTTCCAGAGGCTGCCTGAGACCTGGAACTCCAGGTGTGTGGTGCGTGCAGGGACCACCAGGTTAGAGAGGCAGCAGCCACGCGGTGTGAGGCGTTTGTGTAGCCTGTGCGGAGAGGAGAGAACAGGGATAGGCAGAGGCATAGTTGACAGGCTGCAGCAGATGGCTACAATAATGCAGAGGAGATCGGAATGAAATGAACTAAACATCAGGGAAAGGAGAGAGCAGGCCTCCCTCACCAAAAAAATATATATATATAACTCTCCCAACTTCCACCTCAGAAACTATAATTGTTTCACTGAACCACCCGAGTAAAACTCTCCCAACTTCCACTTTAGAAATTAGAATTGTTGTAAACTACAGCAGACTGTTATCAGTAGCTGTAATTAAGTACAGCAGCTACCAACCACCTAACGTTAATGCCTCGGATGAGGTTAGAAAAACAGCTGAATGGTAGCAGCTAGCTGGCTCAATCACAGGTACTCTTAAGCATGAAATAACATTGGAAACAATTAACCACAGTTGCAAAAAGTTACCAGTAGCTACCCGCTAGCTAGCTAGCTTTGTTGGTCCAAGTAGTGGGTAAGCTAGCCTCGTGCTTCGCCGGGGTCCACCGAATACAGTCCTTACCTACAATAATTACCTACAATAACCTTCAATAACTACCTGAGTAAGCTACCTATAATACCAAACTACAATACCTACCTACAATCTAAATACATGGTTTAAGCTTAACTCAACACCATATAAGAAGCCAAGCTTACCTTTCATAACGCAGCAATGATTAAACGTTGGGTAGCTAGCACAAAGATATTGTATTTAGCTACCACAGTACAGCCAGCTGGTAGTGTTGGCTGGCTAGCAATGGCTACTGTGTTGACTTTGTTTGAAAAACGGCGTCGCTGCGAACGAATGTAGCTGTTTAAAAGGATATTGTTTTTAGTTGCAACCGTTGCTAATAGCAACTCGCCAGCTAATCCAGGAGGTGAGTTAGCTAGCTAGCTTCGTGCTACACCCGGCACCGCCGAATACAAAAGTAACCTACAATAACTACACAACAGCTATCCACAACAGCCCACGATGCCTACCTATACTACTTAATAATATACAGCCCACGATGCCTACCTATAGTACCTAACTACAATCTAAATACATAGTTTAAGCCTTACTCGACAAAGCCCAAGCTATGTATAAAGCCAAACTGGCAGACTGCAATCAGTAGCCGAAATTAAGTACAGCAGCTACCAACCACCTAACGTTAATGATAATGAGGTTAGAAAAACAGCTGAAGGTGGCAGCTAGCTGGCTCAATTACAGGCACTCTTAAGCGTGAAATAACATTGGAAACAGCTAACCACAGTTGCTAAAAGTTGCTAAAAGTTACCGGTAGCTACCCGCTAGCTAGCTAGCTTTGTTGGTCCAAGTAGTGGGTAAGCTAGCCTCCTGCTTGCTGGGGTCCGCCGAATACAGTCCTTACCTACAATAATTACCTACAATAACTACCTGAGTAAACTACCTATAATACCTAACTACAATACCTACCTACAATCTAAATACATGGTTTAAGCTTTACTCAACACCATATAAGAAGCCAAGCTTACCTCCTGCTAGAGAAAACACAACCTCTCCCGTCAGTGGGTCATCGGAAAGTCAAATAGTTTTCACAGAAATAACATGGTTGCTGTGGTAGAACATTTATTTTTATTGCCTATTTTCGGCATTTATCAAAGACCTGTCAGGTAGCCTGATTTCAGATGTGTCCATGTAAACAGGATTATTAGGGAAGTCATTCTTCTTGCAAAAATATAAACACAACATGTAAAGTGTTGATCCCATGTTTCATGAGCTGAAATAAAAGATCCCAGAAATATTCCATACGCACATAAAGCTTATTTCTTACAAATGTTGTACACACATTTGTTTACGTCCCTGTTAGTGAGCATTTCTCCTTTGCCAAGATAATCCATCCACCTGACAGGTGTGGCATATCAAGAAGCTGATTAAACAGCATAATCTTTACACAGGTGCACCTTGTGCTGGGGACAATAAAAAGCCACTCTAAAATGTACCATTTTGACACACAACACAATGCTACAGATGTGTGCAATTGGCATGCTGACTGCAGGAATGTCCACCAGAGCTGTTGCCAGAGAATGTAATGTTCATTTCTCTACCATAAGCCGCCTCCAACTTCGTTTTAGAGAATTTGGCAGTATGTCCTGCGGCGATCGTCTGAGACCAGCCACCCGGACAGCTGATGAAATTGTGGGTTTGCACAACCGAAGAATTTCTGCACACTGTCAGAAACAGTCTCAGGGGAGCTCATCTGTGTGCTCGTTGTCCTCACCAGAGTCTTGATCTGACTGCAGTTTGGCGTCGTAACCGACTTCAGTGGGCAAATGCTCACCTTCGATGGCCACTGGCACGCTGGAGAAGTGTGCTCTTAACGGGTGAATCCCAGTTTCAACTGTACCGGGCAGATGGCAGACAGCGTTTATGGCGTCGTGTGGGAGAGTGGTTTGCTGATGTCAACGTTGTTAAGAGTGCCCCATGGTGGTGATGGTATGGGCAGGCATTAGCTACGGACAACGAACACAATTGCATTTTATCGATGATTGTCACTATAATAAACTTTAATATTTTCCCTGTCTCCTGTGTTTGTGTTGTAGGTGACCGCTCCATGTCCACCTCCCTCTCAGCCTCCCAGCTCCACACGGTCAACATGAGGGACCCTCTCAACCGCGTCCTAGGTTAGAACCATGCACCTGTCTCAAATCTTTAGCACCTATTAGGCATTGTGGCTTACCAGTATGGCTTACCAGGGCATGCCTTTAATGTTTTAGTGCTTCTCATAACGATTTCATTCGACCTTATATGTTTGATTAAGTCGCTCTGGATAAGAGCGTCTGCTAAATGACTAAAATGTTAAAATGTGATTTTTTAAAAACGCTTAATAAATCTGGCCCCTCCATCCACCTTACTCTCTCTCTCTCTCTCTCTCCCTCTAAAGCCAACCTGTTCCTGCTGATCTCATCCATCCTGGGCTCCAAGACAGCGGGGCCACACACCCAGTTTGTGCAGAGCTTCATGGAGGAGTGTGTAGAGTGCCTGGAACAGGGCAGCCGCGGGAGCATCCTGCAGTTCATGCCTTTCACCATGGTGAGTGGGAGAGAGGGGAGTTGAGCGTGGGGGTGATGAACTGTGGTAGTCTAGGGGAGGGAGAGAAGTTTAAGTTGTGATAACATTTTCAAAACATTTATTTAATTTTTCTATGGATGTTTCTTAATATTTTGTAGTCTTTTCTTCTTTCTTTTTTTTGGGGGGGGGTAGATCAGCTTTAATATTGCAGATAGATTCTAACTTCCATCAATGTAATTGTCTGCATCACTTCCAATCCCCCCTATGGTTTTTTTTCGCAAATATAAATATGTATATACAGTTGAAGTCGGAAGTTTATATACACTTAGGTTGGAGTCATTAAAACTCGTTTTCCAACCACTCCACACATTTCTTGTTAAAAAGCTATAGTTTTGGCAAGTCGGTTAGGACATCTACTTTGTGCATTACACAAGTAATTTTTCCAACAATTGTTTACAGACTTATAATTCACTGTATCACAATTCCAGTGGGTCAGAAGTTTACATACACTAAGTTGACTGTGCCTTTAAACAGCTTGGAAAATTCTAGAAAATGTCATGTCTTTAGAAGCTTCTGATAGGCTAATTGACAATTGGAGGTGTACCTGTGGATGTATTTCAAGGCCTACTGTCAAACTCAGTGCCTCTTTGCTTGACATCATGGGAAAATCAAAAGAAATCAGCCAAGACCTCAGAAAAAAAATGGTAGAACTACACATGTCTGGTTCATCCTTGGGAGCAATTTCCAAATGCCTGAAGGTACCATGTTCATCTGTACAAGCAATAGTACACAAGTATAAACACCATGGGACCATGCAGCTGTCATACCGCTCAGGAAGGAGACGCGTTCTGTCTCCTAGAGATGAACGTACTTTGGTGCGAAAAGTGCAAATCAATCCCAGAACAACAGCAAAGGACCTTGTGAAGATGCTGGAGGAAACAGGAACAAAAGTATCTACAGTGAGGGAAAAAAGTATTTGATCCCCTGCTGATTTTGTACATTTGCCCACTGACAAAGACATGATCAGTCTATAATTTTAATGGTAGGTTTATTTGAACAGTGAGAGACAGAATAACAACAAAAAAATCCAGAAAAAAGCATGTTATAAATTGATTTGCATTTTAATGAGGGAAATAAGTATTTGACCCCTCTGCAAAACATTACTTAGTACTTGGTGGCAAAACCCTTGTTGGCAATCACAGAGGTCAGACGTTTCTTGTAGTTGGCCACCAGGTTTGCACACATCTCAGGAGGGATTTTGTTCCACTCCTCTTTGCAGATCTTCTCCAAGTCATTAAGGTTTCGAGGCTGACGTTTGGCAACTCAAACCTTCAGCTCCCTCCACAAATTTTCTATGGGATTAAGGTCTGGAGACTGGCTAGGCCACTCCAGGACCATAATGTGCTTCTTCTTGAGCCACTCCTTTGTTGCCTTGGCTGTGTGTTTTGGGTCATTGTCATGCTGGAATACCCATCCACGACCCATTGTCAATGCCCTGGCTGAGGAAAGGAGGTTCTCACCCAAGATTTGACGGTACATGGCCCCGTCCATCGTCCCTTTGATGCGGTGAAGTTGTCCTGTCCCCTTAGCAGAAAAACACCCCCAAAGCTTAATGTTTCCACCTCCATGTTTGACGGTGGGGATGGTGTTCTTGGGGTCATAGGCAGCATTCCTCCTCCTCCAAACACGGCGAGTTGAGTTGATGCCAAAGAGCTCGATTTTGGTCTCATCTGACCACAACACTTTCACCCAGTTCTCCTCTGAATCATTCAGATGTTCATTGGCAAACTTCAGACGGCCCTGTATATGTGCTTTCTTGAGCAGGGGGACCTTGCGGGCGCTGCAGGATTTCAGTCCTTCACGGTGTAGGTTGTTACCAATTGTTTTCTTGGTGACTATGGTCCCAGCTGCCTTGAGATCATTGACAAGATCCTCCCTTGTAGTTCTGGGCTGATTCCTCACCGTTCTCATGATCATTGCAACTCCACGAGGTGAGATCTTGCATGGAGCCCCAGGCCGAGAGAGATTGACAGTTATTTTGTGTTTCTTCCATTTGCGAATAATCGCACCAACTGTTGTCACCTTCTCACCAAGCTGCTTGGCGATGGTCTTGTAGCCCATTCCAGCCTTGTGTACATCTACAATCTTGTCCCTGACATCCTTGGCGAGCTCTTTGGTCTTGGCCATGGTGGAGAGTTTGGAATCTGATTGATTGATCGCTTCTGTGGACAGGTGTCTTTTATACAGGTAACAAACTGAGATTAGGAGCACTCCCTTTAAGAGTGTGCTCCTAATCTCAGCTCGTTATCTGTATAAAAGACACCTGGGAGCCAGAAATCTTTCTGATTGAGAGGGGGTCAAATACGTATTTCCCTCATTAAAATGCATTAAAATGCCAAATTTATAACATTTTTTACGTGCGTTTTCTGGATTTTTGTTGTTGTTATTCTGTCTCTCACTGTTATAATAAACCTACCATTAAAATTATAGACTGATCATTTCTTTGTCAGTGGGCAAACGTACAAAATCAGCAGGGGATCAAATACCTTTTTCCCTAACTGTATATCCACAGTAAAACGAGTCCTATATCGACATAACCTGAAAGGCCGCTCAGCAAGGAAGAAGCCACTGCTCCAAAACCGCCATAAAAAAGACAGACTACGGTTTGCAACTACACATGGGGACAAAGATCGTACTTTTTGGAGAAATGTCCTCTGGTCTGATGAAACAAAAATAGAACTGTTTGGCCATAATGACCATTGTTATGTTTGGAGGAAAAAGGGGGCTTGCAAGCCGAAGAACACCATCCCAACCGTGAAGCACGGGGGTGGCAGCATCATGCTGTGGGGGTGCTTTGCTGCAGGAGGGACTGGTGCACTTCACAAAATAGATGGCATCATGAGGAAGGAAAATTATGTGGATATATTGAAGCAACATCTCAAGACATCAGTCAGGAAGTTAAAGCTTGGTCGCAAATGGGTCTTCCAAATGGACAATGACCCCAAGCATACTTCCAAAGTTGTGGCAAAATGGCTTAAGGACAAAAAAGTCAAGGTATTGGAGTGGCCATCACAAAGCCCTGACCTCAATCCTATAGAAAATGTGTGGGCAGAACTGAAAAAGCGTTTGCGAGCAAGGAGGCCTACAAACCTGACTCAGTTACACCAGCTCTGTCAGGAGGAATGGCCCAAAATTCACCCAACTTATTGTGGGAAGCTTGTGGAAGGCTACCTGAAACGTTTGACCCAAGTTAAACAATTTAAAGGCAATTGTACCAAATACTAATTGAGTGTATGTAAACTTCTGACCCACTGGGAATGTGATGAAAGAAATAAAAGCTGAAATAAATCATTCTCTCTACTATTATTCTGACATTTCACATTCTTAAAATAAAGTGGTGATCCTAACTGACCAAAGACAGGGACTTTTTACTAGGATTAAATGTCAGGAATTGTGAAAAACTGAGTTTAAATGTATTTGGCTAAGGTGTATGTAAACTTCCGACTTCAACTGTATATATACACACTACCGGTCAAAAGTTTTAGGACACCTACTCATTCAAGGGTTTTTCTTTATTTTTTACTATTTTTACTCCCACATATATTTCCCTTTATTACTTTCCAACCCAACCACCCCTCCCCTAATTGGAGTAAACTAGTGAACAACAACGCTTAGGCCTCTACTTCCAGCTTATACATACTATATACATTTAATGGACACAGTCAATTTTACAATAATTATATTTTGATTGTTAGTTCTACGCAACTTTGGTAAGATATGTGACCACTGACATGGGATTTTTACTCAACACATTCTGGGAAGACATATTCCCGCAATGATGAGTTTTAGTTATTTTATATAAAAAAATTTGATAACGATAAGTTAACAATTTCATTCTACCTTCTATGTTTGATTTTTTGTTTTTGTTTGAGTAGATCTGTCCCCTAGTCTCTAGCTGACCTCGTTCTTACATCCACACTTTTATAAAGATGCTTTTTAATGTATGATTCATTTTTTTCTTCACTTCTCCTTCCTCTTCTTTCTTTTTTTTAGTACTTTTATTGATTTTTATTATTTTATGATTTGAAGAGCTATATAAATAGTTATAATTGAAGAATGTGGAGAATGCCACAGCTGGTAAGAAGTGTGTGTCTGTGTCTGACTGCCCTCCCCCAGGTCTCAGAGCTTGTGAAGCTTCCTGCACTGGCCAAGCCCAAGGTGGTCCTGGGCATCACTGACCTGACTCTGCCCCTGGGGAGGAGGGTGGCAGCAAAGGCCATCTCAGCCTTATAGACCCCTGATGGTTTCCACTGCCCAGGGCTCAGCTCACCCACCTCTGCCTTCTCCATGGATTATATTCCCTAGTCACTCAGGGTCGATACCACACTTCCACTTAAATCAGCATTTTACATAGTATCACATTGACACTAATGCATGACTAAGAGAAGATTTGACAAAGTGGAAGTTTAGGATTCACCCCTCAAAGATTGGGACTCCGCATAGTGTTTCATCAGTTTGGCATAGAAATGCCAGTTTCACCATACTCCGGAGTTGGTTAACAACTGTTATGTAATCCTGATTGCGTCATCATTCATTCGAAGGCAGGTTTTCTTTCATTTTGATAGTCTCTATGGTCTGTGAAAACATTAAATTTTTACTGTTTTGTATTACTATCTTGGCATCAGTATCCATAAAAAGTGTATATATTGTCATTTTTATAATAAATGTAAATACCTTCTACATTTCTTTTTAAAGATATTTTCAGGTTTTTTTTCAGTATGCTGATATTTTTCAGAATTCTAATATTTTCACTTAAATACAAAGTATATACGTTAATTGACCTTCAGCACTCCTTGTGAGAGTAATGGGTTACCTACCTGTAGCATTGTTTACAGTGACTTCCTCCCATTACTTGCTTTTGTTTTTGTCGTTATCAAACATATGGCTGGTGAATGTCACTATCCCAGCACTGTGTTTTGAGTAATCATGTCACATGACCTGGATTTTAACCTTTTAAAACTTTTTCATCAAACTGTCCCCTTTTTTATGTCAGATGGTCTTGCACCATCCTCAGATTTTTTTGGTCTAATTCTCATTTCTGGAAAAGGAAAAAATCTAGGTCATATGACATGATTAACCAAAACACAGGGCCTTACCCATGATGGATGATCACATGGTATTGTTTTGAGACATACAGGGCTGTATTCATTAGAGCACATCGTAGCAAAATGTTTTGCAACTGAAAATGAAAACAAGCATTTCTTATTACTAGTCTCTCTGTTTCAGCCCGTTTTCTTCCGTTTGATGCCAAATGAATGCGACCCTGCGAAAGACCATAATAAGTAACCATAATAATCCCACATGTTCAACCTCTTCACTGTCACATGGTGGTGTGATGCTCTGTGAGTGATATTCCCCAGGCCTTTGGAGGAACACCCCATTGGTGATTCTTAGTGAGCTCGTGCTTATCAGTCATCTAGCCTTAAATAACTTCCTAAATTAAATCTCTTGATGAGGGGGGCAATAAGTGAAATCATTAGACGTAACAGTCTAAATGTTACTTTTGGTTTACAGAAGATGCTTACTCATTGTCTCGTAATCCTTCATTTCCTCTGTATATGGTCAACCAAGCATCTAGACACAAGGCTTTTAAGGAACTGCTGCTTTTAATAGACACCCCTTGTCCTGTTGGTCATATTTGGCAATTGCAAACCTAATTTTTATAAATATACTGAACAAAAATATAACACAACATGCAACAATTTCAAAGATTTTACTGAGTTACAGTTCAAATAAGGAAATCAGTCAATTGAAATAAATAAAGTAGGCCCTAATCTATGGATTTCACATGACTGGGAATACAGATACAGTGAGGGAAAAAAGTATTTGATCCCCTGCTGATTTTGTACGTTTGCCCACTGACAAAGACATGATCAGTCTATAATTTTAATGTTAGGTTTATTTGAAAAGTGAGAGACAGAATAACAACAACAAAATCCAGAAAAACGCATGTCAAAAATGTTATAAATTGATTTTCATTTTAATGAGGGAAATAAGTATTTGACCCCTCTGCAAAACATGACTTAGTACTTGGTGGCAAAACCCTTGTTGGCAATCACAGAGGTCAGACGTTTCTTGTAGTTGGCCACCAGGTTTGCACACATCTCAGGAGGGATTTTGTTCCACTCCTCTTTGCAGATCTTCTCCAAGTCATTAAGGTTTCGAGGCTGACGTTTGGCAACTCAAACCTTCAGCTCCCTCCACAGATTTTCTATGGGATTAAGGTCTGGAGACTGGCTAGGCCACTCCAGGACCTTAATGTGCTTCTTCTTGAGCCACTCCTTTGTTGCCTTGGCTGTGTGTTTTGGGTCATTGTCATGCTGGAATACCCATCCACGACCCATTGTCAATGCCCTGGCTGAGGGAAGGAGGTTCTCACCCAAGATTTGACGGTCCATCGTCCTGTCCCCTTAGCAGAAAAACACCCCCAAAGCATAATGTTTCCACCTCCATGTTTGACGGTGGGGATGGAGTTCTTGGGGTCATAGGCAGCATTCCTCCTCCTCCAAACACGGCGAGTTGAGTTGATGCTCGATTTTGGTCTCATCTGACCACAACACTTTCACCCAGTTCTCCTCTGAATCATTCAGATGTTCATTGGCAAACTTCAGACGGCCCTGTATATGTGCTTTCTTGAGCAGGGGGACCTTGCGGGCACTGCAGGATTTCAGTCCTTCACGGCGTAGTGTGTTACCAGTTGTTTTCTTGGTGACTATGGTCCCAGCTGCCTTGAGATCATTGACAAGATCCTCCCGTGGAGTTCTGGGCTGATTCCTCACCGTTCTCATGATCATTGCAACTCCACGAGGTGAGATCTTGCATGGAGCCCCAGGCCGAGGGAGATTGACAGTTCTTTTGTGTTTCTTCCATTTGCGAATAATCGCACCAACTGTTGTCACCTTCTCACCAAGCTGCTTGGCGATGGTCTTGTAGCCCATTCCAGCCTTGTGTAGGTCTACAATCTTTTCCCTGACATCCTTGGATAGCTCTTTGGTCTTGGCCATGGTGGAGAGTTTGGAATCTGATTGATTGATTGCTTCTGTGGACAGGTGTCTTTTATACAGGTAACAAACTGAGATTAGGAGCACTCTCTTTTAGAGTGGAATTTTATTCTGTCTCTCACTGTTCATATAAACCTACCATTAAAATTATAGACTGATCATTTTTGTCAGTGGGCAAATGTACAAAATCAGCAGGGGATCAAATACTTTTTTCCCTCACTGTTGGTCACAGATACCTTTAAAAAAAAAGGTGTGGATCAGAAAACCAGTCCGTATCTGGTGTGACCACCATTTGCCTCATGCAGCGTGACACATCTCCTTCGCATAGAGTTGATCAGGCTGTTGATTGTGGCCTGTGGAATGTTGTCCCACTCCTCTTCAATAGTTGTGCGAAGTTGCTGGATATTGGCGGGAACTGGAACACTCTGTCGTACACATCGATCCAGAGCATCCCAAACATGCTCAATGGGTGACATGTCGGGTGAGTATGCAGGCCATGGAAGAACTGGGACATTTTCAGCTTCCAGGAATTGTGTACAGATCCTTGCGACATGGGGCCGTGTATTATCATGCTGAAAGATGAGGTGATGGCAGCGGATGAATGGCACGACAATGGGTCTCAGGATAGTGTCACGGTATCTCTGCATTCAAATTACCATAGATAAAATGCAATTGTGTTCATTGTCCGTAGCTTATGCCTGCCCATACTATAACCCCACCGCCACCATGGGGCGTTCTGTTCACAACGTTGACAACAGCAAACCGCTCGCCCACACGACGCCATACACGTGGTCTGCGGTTGTGAGGCCGGTTGGATGTACTGCCAGATTCTCTAAAACAACATTTGAGGTGGCTTATGGTAGAGAAAAGAACATTCAATTATCTGGCAATAGCTCTGGTGGACATTCCTGCAGTCAGCATGTCCCCAGCACAAGGTGCACCTGTGTAATGATCATGCTGTTTAATCAACTTCTTGATATGCCACACCTGTCAGGTGGATGGATTATCTTGGCAAAGGAAAATGCTCACTAACAGGGATGTAAACAAATTTGTGCCAAAAATTTGAGAGAAATAAGCTTTTTGTGCATATTGAAAATTTCTGGGATCTTTTATTTCAGCTCATGAAACATGGGAACAACACTTTACTTGTTGCGTTTACATTTTTGTTCAGTGTACATTTGGTGAGAGCTAATGCATTGCATTTGACAAAATAAAATCAACCAATAACTCCGAGATGAAGTATAACATACAGATCCTTGCATGCAATTGTCTCTATAAAAACAGTACATTTTCATCTAACTTATGTAATACAAATGGTGGATTCATGTATCAAAATATTTTCAAATACAGTACCAGTCAAAAGTTTGGACACCTACTCATTCAAGGGTTTTTCTTTATTTTTACTATTTTCTACATTGTAGAAAAACTCTGAAATAACACATATGGAATCATATGCGTCTCTTCTGAACAGTTGATGTTGAGATGTGTCTGTTACTTGAACTCTGAAGCAATTTATTTGGGCTGCAATTTCTGAGGCTGGTAACTAATGAACTTATCCTCTGCAGCAGAGGTAACTCTGGGTCTTACTTTCCTGTGGCGGTCCCCATGAGAGCCAGTTTCAATATAGCGCTTGATGGTTTTTGTGACTGCACTTGAAGAAACGTTCAGTTCTTTACATTTTCCGGATTGACTGACCTTCATGTCTTAAAGTAAAGATCGACTGTTGTTTCTCTTTGCTTATTTGAACTGTTCTTGCCATAATATGGACTTAGCCCTACTTGGTAAAATACCCATCTTCTGTATACCACCCCTAGCTTGTCACAACACAACTGATTGGCTCAAACGCATTAAGAAGGAAATAAATTCCACAAATTAACTTTTAAGAAGGCACACCTGTTAATTGAAATGCATTCCAGGTGACTACCTCATGAAGCTGGTTGAGAGAATGCCAAGAGTGTGCAAAGCTGTCATCAAGGCAAAGGGTGGCTACTTTGAAGAATCTCAAATATAAAATATATTTTGATTTGTTTAACACTTTTTTGGTTACTACATGATTCCATATGTGTTATTTCATAGTAAAGAAAAACCATGGAATGAGTAGGTGTGTCCTACTATATAACCCCTAAAAATACTTCCTCAATGACATCCTAGGACAAAAGTTGATAACAGCTTATGAAGCTTACTACAACGGTTGCTCACAAAGCATACAGGCGAATAATTGAGTAGGCTTGCAGTGCATTCGTTAAGTATTCATACCCCTTGACTTTTTCCCAAAAAAAATTACGTTACAGCCTTATTCTAAAATAGATTAAATGTATCTACACACATGTTTCGGAGGATGCATGACTCGACCTTCGCCTCTCCCGAGCCCGTTGGGGAGTTGCAGCGATGAGACAAGATCATAATTGGGGAGAAAAATAATATTACGTATTTACATTAGTATTCAGACCCTTTGCTATGAGACTCGAAATTGAGCTCAGGTGCATCCTGTTTCCATTGATCATCCTTGAGATGTTTCTACAACTTGGAGTCCACCTGTGGTAAATTCAATTGATTGGACATGATTTAGAAAGGCACACACCTGTCTATATAAGGTCCCACAGTTGACAGTGCATGTCAGAGCAAAAACCAAGCCATGAGGTCGAAGGAATTGTCCATAGAGCTCCGAGATAGGATTGTGTCGAGGCACAGATCTGGGGAAGGGTACCAATACATTTCTGCAGCATTGAAGGTCCCCAAGAACACAGTGGCCTCCATCATTCTTAAATGGAAGAAGTTTGGAACCACCAAGACTCTTCCTAGAGCTGGCCGCCCGGCCAAACTGAGCAATCGGGGGAGAAGGGCCTTGGTTAGCAAGGTGATCAAGAACCTGATGGTCACTCTGACAGAGCTCCAGAGTTCCCCTGTGGTGATGGGAGAACCTTCCAGAAGGACAACCATCTCTGCAGCACTCCACCAATCAGGCCTTTATGGTAGAGTTGCGAGACGGAAGCCACTCCTCAGTAAAAGGCACATGACAGCCCGCTTGGAGTTTGCCAAAAGGCACCTAAAGGACTCTGACCATGAGAAACAAGATTCTCTGGTCTGATGAAATGCCAAGCGTCACGTCTGTAGGAAACCTGGCACCATCCCTACAGTGAAGCATGGTGGTGGCAGCATCATGCTGTGGGGATGTTTTTCAGCGGCAGGGACTGGGAGACTAGTCAGGATCGAGGGAAAGATTAACAGAGCAAAGTACAAAGAGATCCTTGATTAAAAACCTGCTCCAGAGCGCTTAGGAACTCAGACTGGAGAGAAGGTTCACCTTCCAACAGTACAACGACCCTAAGCACACAGCCAAGACAACGCAGGAGTGGCTTTGGGACAAGTCTCAATGTCCACAAGTGGCCCAGCCAGAGCCCGGACTTGAACCCGATCAAACATCTCTCGAGACCTGAACATAGCTATGCAGCGACGCTCCCCATCCAACCTGACAGAGCTTGAGAGGATCTGCAGTGAATGGGAGAAACTCCCCAAATACAGGTGTGCCAAGCTTGTAGCGTCATACCCAAGAAGACTCAAGGCTGTAATCGCTGCCAAAGGTGCTTCAACAAAGTACTGAGTAAAGGGTCTGTATACTTTTGCTTTGTCATTATGGGGTATTATGTGTGTAGATTAAGGGAAAAAACTATTTAATCCATTTTAGAATAACACTGTAACGTAACAAAGTGTTAAAAAGCATTTAAATTATTTTTTTCAAGCATTTTTATAAATAAACATCTAATCATAAATAGACTAAATAATAAATAGATCATAAATAAATACAAAATATATATCACCATAAAAACATGGCAATTTCAAGTCAGTTTTGGGTCAATCCCTCTCCCGATTGGCTTGGGCTATGTTCCTTAGACTGCGGACTATGTCCTGCCCAAAGCTTTGGAGCTGCACCAGGGTCAGATGTGTGGCTACCTGAACCTCATAGTCCCCAGTGAGATGAGAGGCCAGGCTTGTTGTGGCTGTGGGCTGCACCGCCACAGGGCTCTCCACCACTTGGACTGCTTTCAGCATCTGAGATAAAGAATACTCTAATTAATCAGCATTTATGTCTGAACAGTGTTTGAATCCAATGGATTTTATAATACTGTGTATGCGTGCGTGATGTATAAGTTGTTTTACAGGAAGCCTCACCCTGTTGATCTGGACACGGAGATCTCTGATATCAGTCAGCAGTGCAGTGAGGCTCTCTGTGTTGGCCAGGCGTTGTACGACAGCTCTTAGCAGATCCTGGTGCAGCTGCAGTCCCTCCGACATACGTCTCAGACAGGTCTCCTGATGGAGGGACCTCAAATGTCAAAGCAATGCCTTATTTCTAGGGCTTATATAATTTTCATATGCCATATTTCTTATAGTTTCTAATCAGGGCCTAGAGTTGTTCCTGGTCAGGTCTAGTAGTCACTATAGTCCTATAGACTCCAGGTAGTAACTCTTGGGAGTCAGTCAAAACTCCTGGCCCCACATATTTCATCCTGAACCTGGTTTTCATATTCATGTGAATTAGGCATAGAGGCTATAGTGCAGAGTCTGATGCTCACCAAGGTAAAGTTATCTGTCAAGGCTTTGAGTGTGGGAGCAGAGGGGATGCCAAGGTTGATCGCCAGGTATTGTAGTTTCCTGTTCTCACTTGTCGAGTTAAGAATCAGGGTCTGAGAGCCAAAAGAAGACATTATTAGAAAACCAATGTTTAGAATGAGCCCTATTGTACGTCCATTAAATACGTTACATTTACATTTAAATTGAGTGGAATTTCCAACTAAAACCATTTAGTCCACCTATCAAAAATGATGGATACATTTTGTGCGTAATAGTAGGCCTATATAGGCTACAGTTGCAAAAAAAATTTTGCGCACGGTCAGACCACCAGACATAAACACATCGTCCAGAATGGTAATAGCGTATTCAATGTTAGTGTATGCTATTAAATATCAATTTCCTGTCATGTGTAGAATGAGAGACATCTGATTGTATTAGGCCTATACAGCTCACTCTCCCCACAGAGAGACAGAAACGGTACTGTCTGGTACAGCCTGCCACGGGCAGAAGTATTGGGCTAAGCCGAGGCCGATCCACTTACCTCAGAATGAATGCACGATTTGTGTGTCTCAGGAATAGCATCCAACACCTTCTTGGTCAAACTCTGGCTGTTTTCTACTAACAGGTTGAATTCCGGATCCTCCACTAGTTGACCGGTCTCGCCAGAATACTCCAAGATCGGTGCGCTATGACCGTAGCTGGCCATGTTGCAGAGAATGGCGAAAACTGCAGAGAAAACAACGTTGCCTCTGTTATAGCTCCGAAGTTGGCCGTGTGATGAAACTGTGTGATTATTGGCTGATATGAATATGCAATATCTGTCCCCTTTGCCCTAGCAAATTACACACATTACCCATGAGTATAACCTAGTTAAAAATAGCAACAGAGGAATATGAACTCCCCCGTCCGTTTGTCCGTCAAAAATACCTGCCACATTAAAAATAGATTCAAAGCTACAACTTCAAACTGTGTTATCTTTTACAGTGATAACTCAATGATAGCCTTGATTCCATCAGATATTTGACTTGGTCTAAAAGGTTGGTTAAAACACCCTAATGTTACACATTGCTGTCATTCTAATAAATTGTCTACTAGAATATATTCCAAAATTTGACACATTTTACTGTACTTGTTGCCTTCTTTCTCGTATCCAGTTGCTGTGCAGTCAGTCTATCAACAGTGAAGGAGGGACTTGTACTACTCACCAATCAGAATGTTCATTGCCTTTGGGTTGATGATGACACTTCAAGGAATTCGCTGATACAATTGACCGACCAGTGAACACAAGTTGTTAGATACTATCATAGCCTTTACCCAGTATATTTATACTCGTTGATGGGAATTCCCTGGCTATCACAATAATAGCTAAACAGTATCGAGTTGAATCAGTCATCTTTTCTGAGTATTAAATGTTGTAGTGAAAGTGTTGGTGGAAGTGTAAAAATCTTGCAATTGAATGGACTGTATTTTAGACACATTTTAATTGAATACATAGATAGTACATGTATAGTAATATGAACATGAAAAGGATCTTGAACTCTGTTGGCATGGTGTTATAACTTGGCAACTGTGTGTTAAGTGACAATGGAGCCTGGGTTGACAAATTGCATATTGCCGTAATAACTTATAATGTTCATATATAACATGCATTTTATGATTTTGGTTAGGAAAAGCTGTGTAGACCAGCAGATTTTATGAAGAATATTCAAGTGAAGTGATTCAATTCTGAAACCAAAACTGTCTGGAATTTCTACATTGAGGGGTCCTATAATTGAGCCTGTCCTCAATTAGGCAATGTGAATTTATGAGGAAAACATACCTATCTGGAAGGCCCAATGAAACAGAACTGTCTGACACACTGAGTATACAAAACATTCAAAACATTCTTTCCATGACATAGACCAGGGCTCTCCAACCCTGTTCCTTGAGAGCTACCGTCCAGTAGGTTTTCACTCCAACCCTAATCTAGCACACCTGATTCTAATAATTAGCTAGTTGATAAACTGAACCAGGTTATTTACAACTGGGGTTGGAGCGAAAACCTACAGGAGGATAGCTCTCCAGGAACAGGGTTGGAGACCCCTGACATAGACTGACCAGGTAAATCCAGGTGAAAACTATGATCCCTTATTGATGTCACTTTTGAAATCCACTTCAATCAGCATAGATGAAGGGGAGGAGACCGGTTAAATAAGGATTTTTAAGACTTGAGACATGGATTGTGTATGTGTGCCATTCAGAGGGTGAATGGGCAAGATAAAACTTTTAAGTGCCTTTGAACAGGGTATGGTAGTAGGTGCCAGGCGCACCGGTTTGTGTCAAGAACTGCAACGCTGCTGGGTTTTTTCACGCTCAACAGTTTCATGTGTGTATCAAGAATGGTCCACAACCCAAATGACATCCAGCTAACTTGACACGACTGTGGGAAGCATTGGAGTCAACATGGCCTAGCATCCCTGTGGAACGCTTTCGACACCTTGTAGAGTCCATGCCCCGACGAATTGAGGATGTTTTGAGGGCAAAAAGAGGGGTGAAACTCAATATTAGGAAGGTGTTCTTAATGTTTGGAATACTCGGTGTATACTGGAGGGGGACCACCGAGAGTTCCACAGTAGTTTTCATTACAGGTCTGAAAATACTACATTTTAGTAATCCACTATTACAAAACATTACATTTCAGGAATTACATCACATTTACAAAACACATGTGCAGTGGATTCATTAATATCCCTATTCCCTAAAACTCTGGATTTGATAGTGTGGTCATTCTATTTCATGCTCTAGACCTTCTGGTTGGGGTTAGAGGGGCGTTAATTCATCTGGGTCTCTGTGGCTGAGTTTACACAATTATTGGCAAAAGATCTGATCTGATTGGTCAAAAGACCAGTAATTGGGCAAAAGATCAGAATTGGGCTGCCTGTGTAAACGCCACTTTATTACTTAGTTTTTCACTTGTGTTCACTAAGTCTCGATTGCCATCGGTGAAAATTCTACTTAAGCGGAAGTTAGGATTTGCCCTGATGTGAGCAAGTGGAATGAGTTACAGTAAAAGAGAAATGGAATTGGGCTCTGGGGAGGTTTCATACAAGACTGCCATCTTGTGGCCTCTCTTGTTACCCAAGCCTCAGTTTCTGATTTACTCAACAGTGGCATTCATCAGCCTCTCATCTTATAGGTGTGCTTCCTAGTCTAAATTTGCTTCTTCTTCTAATGGGAAAATCTCAAGCTGACACCCAGCCACGGCTCTTCTCTTGTATGTGACTAAATCATAATGTATATAATGTTGTGTTTTATTGACTATGTTGTTATGAGTTATGTATTAATTTCAACATTATTTGTACAAATTGACCAAAGGCTGCCTTATGGATTCCAATTCTATACTAGATTCCTTGGAGTGTTTTGTCAGCACTTCTCAACCATGTCTTGTATAGTTACCTACTCCTCCTTGTAGCAGATTGGTTTAGCTCCGGGAGCTAACATGAGTCTTTAGTTCTCAGGCAAGGTCACTCATCACACATACCGTAAAGTTTGTTTTTGCACAGTCAAAGGACTGGTTGCACTTGGTGTAGACCTACTGCCTGTACACGGGTAATCTCGATTAATACAACTCTACAGCAAGTGTGCAGCCTGGAGAGATTGGCATTTCTCCCGTCTGAGTGTATGCAGGGTGAAGCAGCTTGATGTACAAGATGGCCCCCAGGACATGGGGTCTGTGTATAGAAACATTGGTCTCCCAGCAGGGCTATACCATGTGTTCCCTGATAGCGATACAAGTAATGTGAATAAGTGGTCCAAACAGCATGTAGTCAGAAAGTCAAATGTTGGGATTCATATTTCTTTTACTTGGTAATTTCCAATTCTGACAGCCACATCCATTTTTATTTATCTCTTTGACATATCCTACGAGAATTAGGGTGTGCTGTCCTGCAGTCTTACCATAAAGCTTGAGTAGATAGGAGTCAGTACTCTGTGCTGGAAATTACAACAACCAACACTCCAATTGGAATGATGTAGATGTAATTTACTGTAATATCCTCTGACTATGATGTTGCTTAGGTAAGAGTCATGGAGGAGTTGAGCAAGAAGGATTGGTTACTGTGGAAACGGGGGTAAATGTGTGTTGTGCAAGACCATGACATCAACTTCAAGAAATGCGAGACAACACTGCACGCCAAGCTATTTTGATGAAAAGTCATCCTTTTCTCAGCAGACCCAGAATAAGTATGTTCTAAAGGATATGGTTCATCCCAACCCTTCCTTCCTCTCTCCCTCAGAATTGTTAAACAGACACGCGTTCTAGTTTTTTATGTACCTACTGACTGTACTGTGTACTGTATTGAGTGATTTCATCTGAGTAGACTAATGTGCATACACTTGCCAGAGTCTTGTTCAAACTTATCCAAATAAATTGCTCTCTCGTTGCAAAATCGACCCTGAGACCTATACAATTGGTGTGGTTGTCATTATTGGAGTTTTTTTACTCTGCCATCCACTTACGCATACTCAGGGACAGGGGAGCTGTGATGTACCAATAGAAGGGGAGAGAGAGTGGGGAAAAGGGAAGTGAAAAGGCTGCATCTCAACAGTCTTACACAGCTTCCTCGTCTGGTCTCCTTTCTTTCATTCACTGAAAGAATTAGACAGGTGAAACCACATTTATTTTAGGCATCCACCATATTGCTTTCATGGGCTTCCAGATCATCATACAAGTGAAGGAAAGCAGACAGGGAGAGGAAGCAACTCTAGACTATTGAGATGTACTCAGGGACATCCTCACTCACTCCTCGTCAATAGCCTTCACTTTAGGCCGGAAGAGGAAACAGTCTGTCCATCCAGGCCCTGGTTGGAAACATTTTAATCTGCAACCCAATGCCATGTGGGGCTGCGGCGCTGCGCTCTGTGGGATTGGATGAGTAACCTTATCCCCACTTTGTGTCCCATTACCCAGCAGTTGTAATGCTCACACCAGTGTAACGTGTCTGGGGGTAGCGGGCGGGGCAAGGTGAGCTGATCTGGCCTGAAATGTAAATGAACCACAACGACAGCTACTGTATGTGCTCGGGAACACGGCGGTGTTACATTACACATATGCCACCCCACATACTCACAAAACAATACATCCAGATACACAAACGCACATGCACAGGCTCACACACACACACTCATTTCTGTTTGTTTACTCTACCACCAAGCCCCCCCCCACACACACACACACACCACAGGTGGCCGGTGGCACCTTAATTGGGGAGGACGGGCTCAAAGTAATGGCTGGAACAGAATACTATTCAATGGTATCGAACACATCAAACACATGGTTTCCATGTGTTTAATACCACTCCATTCCAGCCATTATTATGAGGCGTCCTCTCCTCAGCAGCCTCCTGTGACACACAGACAAGTATGTTACTGGGGAGGGCAGGACTGGCCAGCTAGCTGTGTGTGTGTGTTAGGATATGTCAGCGAGGGAGGCTTAACATCTATATTTCAGAACCTCCTGCTCGTCACGGGAGCCTGCTGTATTTGGGCTTCCTTGAGATTAGCTCTGTCAGGATCAATAACACTGTCCTGTAAAGCAAACTCAGCCAGGAGGAGGAGTGCTGTGAATAGAACGCTGATGCACCAGAGAATCTATGTGCTCATATCAAAGCAAACAACTGATAAAAGTTCTTCCTTATTAAAGTATGTCTTAGTGTCTTTGAGTTTGCCCTCTAAACTAAGTAAAATATAGAGCAAAATGGATGAACAAGCTACTGG